CTGGAGAAGGGGCGTTGTCTTACCTGAACGCCTTTTCTCAGCAAAGAGGAATGTAGACTCCACTCCCTCCCTGCTCAGTTAGCAGTCAGGTCAGTGTCAATTTTTCAGGAGCCATCACGTCGTACAGAACAATCACTGGCTTCGCCCTTTTCGAAACTGGGCATGCTCAGACCCTGAAGGGGCGTGGCGACTTTGATTGGTCTGATTGGGCTAGAGGACAATTAACACCCACACGTGGAGTCTACATTCCTCTTTGCTGAGAAAAGGCGTTCAGGTAAGACAACGCCCCTTCCCCACAATTGATAGGTATCCTGGTTGTTCGGAAAGTATTTATCTCCAATGGCTGTTTAAGGATGAGCAGGCAGTGATCACGGTGCAGGTGGCTAGTTTCTGTGCAGCAGCATTGGGGATTCATCAGAAATATAAATAAACATTTTAGATCTTTTTAATAATCTTTTATAATTAATTTTTATTACATGTGTTTTTATCCAGCATTAGACTATACTCAATGTATTTTTATTGTCAGGTCAGTATGATTCAGTTTTTCTGAAGGTAGCTAGTTTTTGTTATATTGTCTGTAAAACTAGACAGACCTTGGTCACTCATTGATTACATCATTAATTGTAATATATTGCTATGTCTTCTTGTGTTGGTTCTATTTAGTTTTGTTTTATTTGAATGTTTAATTTATGTGTTGGCCTTTGGCTGTAACAATAAGTTGATTGATTGATACTAATTAAAGGGTTTTCAAACTCCTGTATTTTCAGATTCTGTAGATAAAGACTTTGATCATTGGGTAATTCAAAAAATTACTATGGTCAATAGGTAGCTTAATTCTAACTATCATTAACATCGGCTATGCTGGGAAAAATGGCAGAAGATTCTTCTACTAAAAGATCCTAGTTAAAGTACAAGTCTTGAAGTTGATCCAACAAAAGCTTAAGAGTGATTTAAAACAGATGCAAGAAAAAGTGGCTAGATACGAAGATTAATTACAGATCCATGAGACCATAATTCAAACCATTCATAATATTTTGGATAAATGAATTAGTGTCCAAACACGGAGGGAAAAACTCTATATGTGATTGGTATTGAAAATCTCTCAAATTAATCAAACCTGAGTGAATTTATGGAGGATATTTTCAGAAAGTTCCTTTCTTGGGGAACTGACTTTCCAGTGAAGATTGAACATGTGTTTAAAATTTATTTCATGAAATGAAAGACTGAAACTAGTTCCAGATCTTTCATGTTACCAGAAGAGATGAAAATTTATGTATATAAATAATCCTCAATTTATTACCATAATTGAGCCTGCCCATTATGGTTGTAAGTCATGAGAGTAGTCAAGTGGATCACTTATGTAACTGGCCTAATTTTATGACCTTTTTTGCAGCAGTCATTAACTGAACATGGTATTCATAAAGAGAATGTGATGGACATTATGCGAATCCATTGTTCTTTATGGGGCGCTTCTGTCAAAAACTAGAAATAAATAACATTTAATTATTCAATAAAATAAAATAATTTAAATAATTTTGGCAAAAATGTAAATGTAAAGACAAGTCATGTGACCATGGGATGCTGCAAACAGCTGTAAATGTGGGCCCAAAATATGTCACATAACCATGGGGGGGCAGCTGTTGGAAATTCAAAACCAGAATATAAGTACCTTTTAGGGAGGTCCCTTGTAACTTTGAATGATCACAAGTGGAAAACTACATATATTTCCCCAGGAATTGGTAAAACCTTCATTGAAGTGCGATTCTAGCCGAAATAAGATATCAATCTATCCCGGACTTATCAAGGGTTAATTGTTTACAAAGTCTCGAAGTGTTCTTAGATTAGCACAATTACAGTATTTCATGCACTTTCCAGTTGAATTCTGCATTAATCATTAAGATCAGATCTACAAATTTTGTAACTCTGTATTTGTTTCAAAATATATTTTATTTCTAATTTTGCAGGTTTGTACAAGCTGTGAAGACAATGCAGAAGCCAATGGCTTTTGTGTGGAGTGTGTAGAGTGGTTATGCAAGACATGTATACGGGCTCATCAAAGAGTGAAATTCACAAAAGACCATACAGTTAGACAGAAAGAAGAGGTTTCTCCAGGTAAAGATCCATTTATATTTTCGGTCCTATACAGTTAATCCCTGAGTTACAAACGTTTCCTAACTGAACATTCGAAGTTACACAATAAGTGCCCTCTAGTGTTTATGAACAAGTCCCAAAATTACGAATATTGCAGCACCATGGCAATTGTTCACCCTTACGAACAACCGCAGAGGCAATGCAACATTTACCCCGGCAATCTAAAAATTATAGGGCTACCAGTGCATGTAGCATAGATACCAACCTTGCTGTCAAGCAAAATGAAGCCTCTAATAGCGAGTGCCACACAAAGTGCACTAACCAAATAGGTGGTAAGACAATAGAGGAACTCAGGCACCACACAGGTTGTGTAGAAAAACACAGGGCCAGTCACAAAGGACTCAAATGTCTATACACCAATGCACAGAGTATGAACAGCAAACAGGGTGAACTAGAAATTCAGGTTAATGAGGGCAGATATGATATTGTTGCCATTACAGAAACATGGTGGGATGAAACCCACACATGGAACACACAGCTAGAGGGATTTAAATTATTTAAAAGAAAC